TAACATCAAAAAGTGGAAATATAAAAAAAATAAAGTAAAACATGTTTATAAAATTAAAATAATAACACTTTCATAAACATTAATAAAATAATGTTACAAAATATAATTATCATAATATATTTTGTTATTATTATTTATTATTATAAATATTATTGTTTTTATTTTTATTAATATTAATATTATTATTTATTATAATTAGTATCATTATTATTTATTATGATTCTTATTATTTTTCTAATATTTATTATTATTCTTATCATTATTTATTATTTTTTTAGTAAATAAACCCTATTAATATAATTTTATTGTAATTATTATTAATTACAATAAATAATATTATACTCATTTTTAATCCAAGGGTAAAAGTGTAAATTATATATTCATCTCTTAAATTTTTATTTTTTATCTATCATTAAATTTAAAGCAAATATTTAAATTAATTTATTTTTAAATTAATTTTTTATAATTTTTTTAGTTAAAATTTATATATTTATCTTTTAATTATAATAATTATAAAAAAAATTAACCTAAGGGCAAAATAGTAATCTTTCACAACTATTAATTAAAAAATCTATTTTTATCTATCACATCAATCAATTCATTCACAAACTTTCTTTACACTTTTCACTCACTTTCCCTTAATCCAATCAACCTCACTTTCCACTCACTTTCTCTTCAAATCCCTCCTTTTCCACTCTCTCTTTTCCATCCTCAAATCCAATCAAAGCCTAAAAAAAATTATGTGCTAAATCATGAATTCAACCTTTTATGAAAATAATAAATTGTTAAAAAAAAGGTCTTACATTTACAGCACTTTTCAGTACTAATTTTCTCGCTAGGTTGGAGATACCTCAAAGGATGGGATAACTGACCCCAAAATTTAACGTAACTGCATATATAAAGTAAGATTTAAACTCCTAATCTTACTTAAGTGTGAATCAATTCGTACCTCTGAACCACATGCTTGGGTTAACAATGTTCAGACGTGACGACACATTAGCATTTCCCGGACATATCTGAATGCCTAAACCGGTCTCAAAGCAACCCGGGCCCCACCGGTTCAGATTCATGCGGCTCCTGTACAGCAGCCACATCAAAGCAATCTTTCGGTCATCGAATCTCAACCGTCCACGTGTGAGCCCCACAAAATCCACCCACGCGCGACGCGACACGCTCCAACAAAACCGCGACACGTGTCTCCCCTGTACAAAACGCTTTCCGCGTGTTTCACGCGCTCTCAGATCTCACCCATTATTTATTTATTTATTATATTTATTTTGCAATGAATCCCACTTTCACGGTTCAAAAATCTTCTACGGCTGTTGCTTGCTATAACTAGCATCAACCACAACTACTTTCTTCGGTTCAGCTTCCGTTCTTTCGCTTACGCAAAACGGCGCCGTTTTGGCCAAGCTCTCCAGCGACCGGAAAATGGTGGAGCCGGTGGAGCTTCGCGGCGAGGAGCAGCTCTCGCTGCTGTCGGATTCGAGCAATGGCGACCGGTCGTGGCGGCTGAACTTCGACGGGTTTCAGCTTTCTTCGAAGCACACGGAGAAGCAAGTGAAACCCCCTCGCGGACTCCATGACTGTTATGGCGTTCTAGGTAACACTACAATCGCATCTTCGTTTTATTTATTTTTCACATTTTTCATTATTTTTAATTTTTAGAATATGCTTTGTTTTAGAAAGAAAAAATAAAATTAAAGTAGACAGAGATTTTCACTATTTTTTCATGGAATGGGAATCTGCAATTTGCTTTACACTTGTGGTTCTGGTTTAATTGCGGTTTCAGTGCTGATAGAATTTTTCTGTTTTGGTGTGTTTTTTTAGTTTTTTCCCCTCTTTATATTTGTCGTCTTTTCATTTGAAGTCCAAATGATGCTTTTGTTTTCTTAAAGATGCTATTAGTGGATTTCATCCAGTGTGAGTATGCCATGCCATGTTTTGTTCCTTTTCTAAGACCGGGTTTGTTAATGTGTGATGGAATTTGGAGGTGGGTTAGATATAAGTATATGATGCGGTAGCTTTGTAGCAGTTGGGGTGGGGTTTTGGTGTATTGGGTATTGTTTGGGGGAAGTTGGAAGATGCACTATAGGGTTTTGCATTTTCAGGCTCTAGAGACTAGAGGCAAAGCTTTTGGACTAAGCTTATTTGTTTTTTCATTTTGGGTTTGTGTGTTTTTAGTGGAAGAAGTTTCACGAATTTGGTGCTTAGATTTTGCATTTGAACTGAGTGCGTTTGGACTTTTGCTTTATTTCTATAAATGGGTTGTTTGAATCCATGCTCTTGCTGAAACTTTTGTCTTGCTTGTTTGTATGTTAGCCTGCCTGTTTCTGCTGCAACTTTATTTGTAATTTTGTATGTTTTCTGGGTTTTGAAGCTTTTTGTTAATTTTGTGTAGTTCACTAAATTGAAGTTAACTTGTCCTATATCTATGACCATGGGAATTTAAAGAATAACTATGAATCGCTATCTTTTTATTTTTCTTTTATCACGGGAGGTTAGCTGTTTTTCAATGGTATGCTTTTTGAGTGCTGGCATCTTTGCTACTAAATTGAATGGAAACTTCATGGATCTTGTTTTATTTTTCTTTTATGTTATGTATTTCTTCAGGTCAAGAAGATAATATTGCGGAGTACTATCAGCAGCAGGTTGAAGTGCTCGAGGGCTTTACTGAAATGGATGCCTTAGCAGAGCGTGGTTTTATTCCTGGAATGTCAAAGGTTTCTTTTTCATTTTCTCCTTTATGCTTCCCAGATTTAAGATTGATATATCGTCGAATAAATGCTGTGGCTGAATATCCATTGCTGTTGGCAGGAGGAGCGAGACAAGTTAGCAAGGAGTGAGACGTTTGCCATCAGATTGTCAAACTTCGCAAACATGGTTCTTTTTGTTGCCAAAGTTTATGCATCAATCAAAAGTGGTTCCCTAGCCATCATTGCATCCACTTTAGACTCACTTCTTGACCTCCTTTCTGGATTCATCCTATGGTTCACTGCATTTTCCATGCAAACACCAAACCCATATCAGTACCCTATAGGGAAGAAACGTATGCAACCATTGGTCAGTTCTCTTTTTTAATATCCTGTTTGAAATCATCCCAATCATCATCATCTGTTCTTTCTAAATGATCTCAATGGCTCTTAGGAATTAGTAATCTAATTAAACTTAAATATCAAGATAGAAAACTACTTAACATACAATTTGGTTGTGTATATACTTGTGTTCCACAGATAAAGCATAAACTATAAAGTGAAAGTTCATTATCAAAATAGTTATTGGACTAATGAGTAATTATGACAATCTTGGTACAGAAATTTTAAATTCAAATTTTGTTGCAGGGAATTCTTGTTTTTGCCTCTGTTATGGCTACACTGGGACTGCAAATAATCTTGGAATCTGTCCGCACATTAATATCATCTGTAAGTTGATTTTTGCATTATTTCTAGAGGCAAAGTTGACACCTAAACTGATAGAATGATAATTTCTCATTTAGTTCCTGGATATCTTTTATTTTTAGATATCTTTAATGTTTTTGAAATGACATTTCCAGGAAAATGCATTCAACTTGACCAGGGAACAAGAGCGTTGGGTCGTGGGTATTATGCTTTCAGTGACTTTGGTGAAATTCCTGCTGATGGTTTATTGCCGCTCTTTTACTAATGAGATTATCAAAGCCTATGCCCAGGATCACTTTTTTGATGTGATCACTAATGTCATCGGCCTTATTGCTGCACTTTTGGCAAATTATGTTGATGATTGGATGGATCCTGTTGGTGCTATCATTGTATGTGAATACTTTCCTTTTGTTAAAGATTTTGATATGCTATTCATAGCCCTAGAAAAGAATATATATGTTATTTAAATTTCCGTGAATTTACAGTTGATTAGTCTATTTCATCAACAACGTGGCCATCTGCATTTCAGCCTCTGCCATATGCTCCAATTATTTAAAAGAATCGAGATCTCAGATTACTTAAGATGAAATCTCTCATTGCATTAAAGCAAATGTCAAATGTTTGTGACTTTCTAATTAGCTTATCATAGTACCTGCCAAGGACGGAGCCAAGGGGGGACCTACGGGTGCCACGGCCCCCCCAACAATTTTAATTTTTTTTTATATACATATATATTACTATATGGCACCCCCTATTGTTAATATAAACTCATATGTATAATTAAATGAATAACCCAAATTTATTTTTTTATTCAACTTTTGGACTTCTGGTACGGCCTGCTATGTGGTATCACTTTGGAATTTATTCTCGGCCCCCCAGTATTGAAATCCTGGCTCCGTCCCTTACCTGCCACCTGTCCTTGAACTTTGTGCATATTATGATGGTTTGATATGTCGTATTCTGGTCTATTAAGATTTTAGGGAATCATCGATGGTTCTTTTGAGCACATCCTATTGCTGGAAAGAATTTCTTATTGATATTTGTATATCTAACTCACCACCAGTTTATACTTGGTCTTTTTAATTTTTACTTGCTTTACTTATGTCTCCTACAGCTGGCTTTGTATACCATTCGCACATGGTCGATGACAGTGTTGGAAAATGTGAATTCCCTGGTTGGAAGATCGGCAGCACCAGAGTATCTTCAGAAACTTACATACCTATGCTGGAACCACCACAAGGCTGTGAGGCACATTGATACCGTTCGGGCATACACATTTGGGTCTCACTACTTTGTTGAGGTTGATATTGTCCTGCCAGCAGATATGCCCTTACAAGAGGCTCATGATATTGGGGAATCATTGCAAGAGAAGCTTGAACTTTTGCCAGAGATTGAGCGTGCTTTTGTTCATCTTGATTACGAGTACAGTCACAAACCTGAGCATGCTCAAGCACACACTTAGCAGCAGTAAGGAAAAACAATGCCTTCTTGCTTTCTTCATTTGCACTTTCATAACTCGTCAGTTGTAAATGTGAACCATTTCTGAATGTTGAGAATCTGAACTTAGTGCAAGTCACTGAGAAGTTGCTAGCTATATTCGTCCGCCCCTAGCTTCAATTCCAACTTTCTGGCATCCTACGAATATTTTAAATGTATATCACTATCACAATAGGCTTATCAGGCAAGACCCTCCAGGCTCCATTTGGGAGAAGTAGAATCTTGTTGTTACCCTTTCCAGTTGTATTATTTGTTTTTGTACAGTGCACTATTTCTACCTTAATTAAGGATTTAAGGTGTTGTGTGCTGGTTTTGTTGTTTCTAACATGTGCAAATATAATTTCTTTTTATAAGATCCATTACCTAATTCATCAAGATTGAGGAAGTTGGTTAATTTAGTTGATAACATACTAGTTAGTATTGCATGTATTTTGATATGATTCATAATATATAAAACGATTTAGTGTACCAATGATGTGAGGCACAAGGTGAATTGTTTGTCTGGATATTACATGACGATGAAATGAAAGTGTGGGCCTTATTGAAGAATGAGTAAAGCAAAAAAGGGGACTGATATTACAGGACAATGCTGTGACAGTGTTCCCCCAAATAAACTTAAAGCGAAATGTAAGTTTTGTTCACAATCTTTTTGGGGTTGAATTGCAAGGATGAAACATCATCATGCTTGAACAAAGATGAACAAAGATAAATGTGAGTACATGTGCAAGAGTTCTGGATGTTAAGAACATTTGTCAAATTATTGGAAACTAAAGAAAAGAAGAAACAAGAAAATAGTTGTGATTGTTGGGAAGTAGCATAGGAAAGGATGAGAAATCAAAATTTGTCATATGAAAGACAATGAGTGAGGTGTGTAGATATATGAAGAACTGGCAGATGTATTTATGGTAATGTAGTATCTTATAATTTTGTAAGTCTAACAATCAAGCAAGTTTTGTATTTACTATAATTCAATCTTAATGTAACGAGAAAAAAAAAACATTTAATTATCTTGATGTTAACATGTACTTCAATATATTTGTAAGGTAGGAAAGGGAAAAAAAACATAACATAACATGTATGCATACAATTTACATACACAATATTTTAAAGTATATAAAAAGTTATATTTGCTAAGTAAATGACTACACAAGATCTAATTATAATAGAGTAGTCGTAGCAAAATGAGTCACCATTAATATGACTCATCACTTAGACAACTTTGACATTTAGTTAATTAAATCTTGTTCTTATATCAAATATGATTAATGTAATACAAGAAAAAAAATGATAAATTTATGAAAAAAATCAACATACAACAGTCAACAATGCATTAAGTAATAACTTAAATTAGTTAACCAATTTCAATCACTTCATCTTGTAACCTCAAACTTTTCATCAAGCATAATATAATCGACTTATAACATAATACAACTCATCAACTTTAGCTTAACAACATATTCAACGTAAGTAACAATAAACAACTAATGTGTTATCACACATATCAATTAAAAAAATCTCTTACAATAAAGGTAAACGGTTTAAGTGGTTAGACTCTATTGAACCACATGTAACCTATCTCAATCGGGTCAGTTATAAGGTCTCTTAGAGAACTTGTTTAACAACTTAATTTGATTTCTCAAATTTTATCACTTAAACTAAGAAGTCTAGTACTACTGTTAGGGTAAAACAACTTGAGTATGAGTCTATCATGACATTAGTTTACAACACTAAGTCACCTATTGGATTAGTCCATCGACTAGTCTTCAAATACTATTTTCTTTCAATACTTGGTTAAGGACTAAGTCTTCAACTTTATACTTAACAAACACATGAATCTTCATTACATGTCCAACATTTTAACAACTTACGCAACTTAAAACAACACACAAATTTACAACTTAATCATATACCATCTCCCACCTTCACAGTATAAACATCATTAATCATGTATCAATTTATAACATACAGATTCATTATCATACATCATCATCCACACAACTTATTCGTCATCATGTAACTCTAAGACAACTTAAAACAAGTTTTCATCATGCAACTCGCACATGAGCCATTGAGACAAAGGAACTCCTTATCTCGCCCATGCCTGGCACCAAACTACTTGTGCTTGGTGTGATTGAGGCAGAGAGTCTCCCACTCTCTCGTGCCTAACATGGCAAGAACTCACACCCAACCCCAATCAAATAGAGGACTTCTACTTGATTCATATCTGGCACCACTCCTCCAGTACTTAACGTGGATCCAAGTAGAGACGGTTCTCTTTCCTCATGTTCGGCACCACCAATATTGTGCCTAATGTGAACATGATAAAACCCTTTGGTTGAAATCACATCCAACCCTATAAAGGCACGTTTGATGTGACATCAACTCTACACTTATGCAAAACTCAATTCTGGCCTCAACCACTTGAAACTTAGCCAAAATTCACATGCAACTATATATACATCGCATCTACATCATATAGAGTTCATAAACAACACCAAAAACAACATGAAACTAAAGATTAATAAGAATCATCATCTACTCTTCATAAGCAACTTCAAGAACATCTAAACTTCATAATTCATCAGACATGGATTTCAAACAATAATAGCTATAAATCTAGTGATTCTAATAAATAAAAATCACCATACAACAAGGATCATTTAAAACATCAAGCTTCCCTTACCTCTTGACAATCTGCATCGAAGAGAAGAAAAGAATTTTGCATGTTCTAAAACTCAAGATTCTTGACTCTGCAAGTTTTAAATCTTTAACTCAGCAAGATTGTTCACCTACAAGGGGGGAGAAGATAAGGGTTTTAGTAAAGGAAAACGAAGAAGATTCACTCAAGTTTTAGAGAACTTCTCACTAGCTTCTCTCTAAAGTTTCTTAAAACATAAACTTATGAGATTTACATCTTAAAAAGTTTTATATATCCTTCCTGAAGTTGAACCAACCTATCTCTAACTCAATTATTCCAGAGGCCAACTTAACTTTGAAAGTGCTTGGACCTGAGTGTCCCTAAACCATAACTAACAACTAAACAACACAAATCATGCGATCACTCATATAATTAAATTAAACTTCACAAAACTATCAATGTTATAGTAAGGAGTGATTTCATTTTCTCAAATGTTAAAGATTGTTGGAGAATATGGTAAGGGTTTGAAACCTCCTACTTATCATGATATGAGTTTTTTTTTTTTTAAGAAAGTGGTTGACAATATAAAAAAAAAGTCTAGAAAAATATAATAGAGAATGTGAGTAATCAAGATGCACCTTGAAGTGTATGGTTTGATGGATAAGAAAGGAAGGTTACTCAAATTTTTTATAGTTTATAGTCCAAGTATGACTTTTTTTTTTATAAAAAAATTCTACCAATTCTAGTGATGTGATAAAGGATAGAATGCAAATGTTTGAGTTATTAGACAATAATGGGGAAGAAATTGGGGAGGAACAAATAGTTCAAGTTGTGATGGAGAAGTTGATAACAAGTAGTTCAAATTGAGTCAAATCTTGTGAAAATTAGGAAAATTTTAATGGAGTTGACAAACAAATTATGTTGTCCCCGGGTGCAATCCGTTGTTTTAAAGTGTGTTTTAATGAAGAATTTTAATGGAATAAGTTTTTTTTTTGTTGAAAAATTTCAAATGTTTTGAGAATTCACACTTTAATATTAAAAATACTTTTAATTATATATAAAAATAATTTGATTTAATTTCTTTATAAATATATGTCACAATTATTTATTTTTAGTATAAAATATATGTTAAAAAAATAGTTTTATTTCTTACTAATTTTTATTTAAAACGTTACATTTTAATAAATATCTACAAATAATCGTATATAAAAGGCATATGACAGAAAATTACTATCCGCTCCCATCATGCCAGTTTCCATTCCTGGGTGAGACCTTGTATATTGTCTGAAAAATCAAGAATTAGTATAACTTAAATTTTTAGGACACATAAAAAGTTTGTCATCCGATGTTGGCAACAATATTATCTTGCAATGAATTGGCACATGATGCCGTGGGGTAGTCAGAGAGAGGCTGTAAACGTGCAAACTTGTTACACCTCCATCCACCCACCCACTCAGCAAATAAAAAAGACTATTTCAAATTAAAGGATCTATGTTTCCTTTTCTTTTCTTTTTTTTAATATTTTAATATTTACTATTTTTTTATTATAATTATAACTATATTAGGCAAAATGACTAAAAATGTATCTGCAAATTGAAAAATAACTTATATGTATCCTTTGAAATAGTTTATAAAATAAATTGAAAAATAACTTATATGTACATGAGTTGGAGTAAATTTCATTATATTGAATTCAACTCTTATGAATAAAATAAATAAAATGTTAACCTAGGAAAAAAGACATGAATAAAAGCATCCTTATTGGACACTGGTGTTTATTTTGCTTTTGATAGTAACTTAAAACAAAATGCTAAGACATGCATGATTGAACAATGAAACAACTTAAATGTAGTGTGGGAACTGGGAAGAGGTAGGTCTCAACTTACATACCTAATTATGTGTGTATGACAATTGAGGTGTGCTATCTTTGATTGAATGATTGCGACAGAAACCTTTATAAACTACACACCCTTTGGGCTTTTTGTAACATTGTGTGGTGCCTCGTAGGACAAAACTTGGTCATGTTTCTTCTACCTGGGGATGGGAAATGATATTACCTGCAATATTGCCATATTTTATCATATTTTTTGTTAGTAAAATATTGATGTCACATTATGTACTATTAGATAACATGTATATGATTATGAACGATGAGTAAGATAATATTATTATATAAAATTGTAATAATCCAGTGTACCAGTTAATTTGCATATTTATCAGTTTGACTAGTGTTAAAAGAGGAAAGAAAATAAAATAAATCTCATATTGTCATACGTAAAAATGGTTTTTTAATTTGGTCCCTAGTTTAAGGATTTTTATTTATTTTTCTTCTAATTCATAAGTTGTTATATAGTTTCTTGATTAATTTTTATTCCTTATTTTCTTAATGTGGGAACCTTACATTCTTTGATCATATATTTTAAAATATATCACTAAAAGCTTTAGAATCTACGTGTATTATTAAGGATTAAATAAATAGTTGAAATAGTTATTGAATATTTATTTTTATTTGATGTTAAAAGATTTATAAATTTAAGCACTATATTCGGTGAATTAAGTTACAATTTGTTAGCCGATTCTTATGATATCAAATCAATTATTGTTCTTATGATTATTGTTTTATTTTACACTAATAATATTTTTGTTAATAAATTCATTTATTTTTTAAAGTTGTTTAACCATCAATTTTTCGCAATTATATATATCAATTGTCCAGAAATTTGAAATAATACTTATGAGTAAAATATCTACAAATATTATTATAATGCCTAAATAAACTTTTTTTATAAACACTTTGAAATGAAATAAGTTATATATAAATAATATATGTTAAAATTAATTTATGCATAAATTAAAAGAATTTAGAAAGAAGAAGGGAAGAAAAATCTGAGTTTCTCTCTCTAATTTAAACTTTAATTATTTAATTATTTATTATTTTATCTTAAATTCTAAATCTTAAACCCTAAGCTCTTAAATTATATTTTACATTTTTTTAAACTTACTATTTTTCCTTAAATATACTTATATTATTTATTATTTTTTTAATTTGTTCTTATAATATTAAAAAATTATTTTATAGTACATTTTTTTTATTTTAATACTGTACTTAACTAAAGGAATTAATTGTGATTTATACAAGATAATTTATAATTTAAATAAATATAGAAAGACACTCTTAAAGGTTTTGAATTATTAGTTAATTATAATTAACAAAAATAAATTATATGAAAATGAATATAATTACGTAAAAGTGTATATATATATATAAAAACTTCCAGAACAACTGATAAAATTAAATTAAAATAATATTTATAAACATATTTTTTTTAAATATTGTTACGATTATTAATTAATATTTTTCTAACATTGGAATGCATGTTCCTTATATTTTTAAGCTACAATTACTAAAAGTTTTGAAATAAAAAAGAAAACAAACTATTAGATAAAAATATTTTTTGAAGTTAAATTGACAGAGTTGGAAAATTTACGGTCGTAATAACTTAAAAAATTACCTACTATATTAATCATTTCTTCATGCACAATGCCAATAATTTAAAAGATATAAAAATATACAAATTAATTATGTGTACTTAATAAAGTCTTCTCTACATAAATATTCATAGGATACAAAATTGAACTCTAACCAGTTTAAGAAAATTAGTTTTTTATTAATTATGTTGGAACTTGGAAGCTGTTGATTCATGATATTACTAATTAAATTAACTATCTGTAAAGTATCTGGAAATATTTTATACAGTACATAAGATAATATATACTGATATAACATATTGGTCTTGTCTTGCTTCTCGAATTTTGAATGTGCCCGAAAACACGTCTAGTTTCATGTCAATAATTCAAACTGTTTTCAAACATCCTTCGATTGAAACTTCCGCCACAAATAATGCTTAAGTACTTGCATTACATCATACTCCATTTTATAATAATTGGAATGTCATTGCTTTTACCAAAAACCTGACACATGTAACTCAATCTTTCATTCTTTGCATATATATATATATATATATAAAAGATTATAATAATATCGTAATTTTTATTAAATATTATATTATTTAATTTTTATTAAATATTATATTATTCAATAATTTTATATTAAATATAAATTTTATAAATTTAACGGTTAGATTAAAAATTTATATCTTTTAAATTATATATAAAAAAATTCAAATTAATTTAAGATAATTTAATTATTTAAAATCATTTATTAAATTAGAATAATGTTATTCACGTTGAGCAATACATATAATTGAAACAAAATTATTTATATTTAAAATAAATTTTATAAAATTCAGCTAAACAAATTTTATGTAAAAGCATGACGTGGCGCATTGTATAGAATTATCGTTATCCTTATCATATAAGAGACTTTTTCTTAATGTGTGATGGAACATGGAAGTTAAATTGTTCCTTCTGTTTGGTAGAAATTAAACAAATCAAATTAATGCCTTAGCAGAGAAGTAAAATTTTCAACAAAAAATGGCTGCATACGGATTGGCGTGTTATATCAAAGAAGAAAAAAAAACTGAGAGTGAAGTTTTCCCACGTCTCTTCTTTACTTATTCGAAATTCCTTTTTTATTAAGAAAAAATCGTACAAGTCCACTTCCACAGAAAAAAAACACACTATTCTTGTCCCTGTTATAAATGGGATGAATTTTCGTAACCTTTCTTTTTTATTTCTATTTTTCATTAGATATTATTATCCTAAATTTAACCAAAAAACAATTTTCCAATTTTTTTCAAAAACAATATATAGAGATATGAAGTATTTATTTATATAAAAAATTTAAACATATAACTTTTACTAATTATTATATTATTTAATAATCTTTAATTAAATATAATTTTTGTTGATCCAATAATTAAATTATAATATTATTATCAAATTTTATTTTTATATCAAATTTTGTTAAAATTATTCACATTTAATAATAAGTCTTAAAAAGTTATATTTAATTAAAATTTATTAAATAATGTAATAGTTGGTAAAAATTACACAAATGTAATTTAAACCCTTTATATATACTAGTAGAGTTAAGACACTTCGTGTCTCTATTAAAAAAAAAAAATTAATAAAATATGTTAGTTTAATTATTGTTATGATTAGTCTATTACTTTAAAGTTCTTAAGTTTGATAAAAAAAATATTATTTTTTAAAATAAAAAGATACAATGATCAATAAAATATGGAGAATAAGGTGGTTATTAAGTCACCTTTATATATTAGTGTATATATATATATATATACTTTTATTGTAAGTTTTTAATTAAATAAATTATTATGATGATAATTTTTTTAAAAGTATTTAATATAATTAAATTTAAAGCTTAATTAAATTATATTAATCAAATATCATTTTTTATTTTAATTATAAGCAATAAATTTATTTTTTCTTTGATATTAATTATAAACAATAATTGATTGTTAAAGTTATTTAAAAATAAATACTTTTAAAATCCTTAATTAATTGTTATTTTCATTCTATACATTCATTTATAACCAGTCTTAAATATAACAATTACTTAAAATAAATATATCTTAAAAATACAATTAAAATGTATGGCATAATTAATTAAAATAAATAATTTAATTACTTTTTTATCTTGATAATTTGTTCTGTTATACTTATAATTAGGGACAGAATTAAATAACTGTAATATAAGATACCATGAATTTTTTTTAAAAAAAAAAACAACAACAACAAAAGGAAAGAAAGTAAATCATAAGAGTATTTATGATTTATGAAATCAAAATTAATTAATACGAGTGGAAGTTAGTTGTATTTTTTTTATTAAGTTGCTGATATTAGAATCTCAATTAAATAAATTATATTGATAAAAAAATACTCATTTTATGTAGTTTAATAAAGATTAGTGACATTTTTAACGGTAAATATTTGGTCGTAGCACCATGTTTTAATTTTGTATTTTTGAAAAGCATATATATGTTGTATGCTTAGTTGCTTATAACTATAAATCTTGTTTATTAAATGAAGATTCGCGGTGGGTCCCATTTCCTACGATGATTCGCTTCGTCAATCCTACACAACCATCGCATTCGCACACGATTTTTAAACCATGCGCCACTACTAGTCCATGCTCTGACCATATATAATGCGCCGGCGGTGCGCATGGAGATAAGCTACGCATCGCCAAGTTTCTCCGACCTCTCCGCCGCCGCCAGCTCCTCCATGCCGTCGTCGGTCACCGCCGCCCGTCCCGTCAGGATCATCCCCCTGCAGCACCCGACCGCCACGTCCTCCTCGCCCACGCCGACTGAAGCCTTCGCGCGCTGGGCCGCGAGGCTCCGGCGAATGACGTGGCTCGAATGGATCGAGTTCTGCCTTCCGTGCGTCCGTTGGATTCGCACATACAAATGGCGCGAGTATTTGCAGGTCGATCTCATGGCCGGAATCACCGTCGGCGTCATGCTCGTTCCTCAGGTAATCCGTTACGCTCGTTTTCCGTTTAACGAATTTTCGGTTTCTCAGGTTTTGAAAATTCGCTTAATCGTCTGTTTAGTTTTAAAATATTCTTGTTAATTGTTGACGCAGTCGATGTCGTATGCGAAATTGGCTGGACTTCAACCGATATATGGACTCTGTAAGATTTCTGAACTACCGCGCTCTTGATGAATTTTCTGGATTGTGTACGTAGTTAAGCGTAGCTCCATGTTTAAATGTCTTCAGAATATAATATTATAGTTCTTTCCTTTTCCCTGATATAGTGATATGATTTGAGTTAGCGTTTGATTTTTCTTATGGAACCGAATTTGCATACTGTAGCCTTGAAAATTTTGAAGAGTAAAGTTTGGTGTAACATTTTTTGAGAATTGGAGAAATTCTAGCAGTTTTATTCTTAAGAGTCTTATCTCTCATTGTTCTAACTTCTAAGCAACAGTGCTGTTCTTGCCGTATTGATATCGATGGAATTTTAGCCTTTTGCTCTCATCGGTTGTGTGTTTGTTTCTAACTATATTTTGTACCTTTTTATGTTATTTTTGTGTTATCAATCTTTTATGTCCTGAGATTATATATAATACCTGGTTATTGATGTTATTCTCTTTGCAAGGAAGACTCTGCTTTTGTGCCGATATTTGTATATGCTATATTTGGGTCTTCTCGCCAGCTTGCAGTAGGCCCGGTGGCATTGGTTTCTCTCTTGGTCTCTAATGTGCTAGGTAGCATAGTTGATTCATCCAGTGAATTATACACACAGCTGGCAATATTACTGTCCCTTATGGTTGGGATAATGGAGTGCATAATGGGAATCTTGAGGTATTTTCACCATTCCCTATTTTCGATAATATAGGTGTAGCTTCTTAACTTGGCTAGGAATCCATGAATAAAATTCCCCTTCTTTGTTCCTTCTCTTTCGGGCATGTACTCTAACTAAATATATAATTCTACTTTCTCTTCTGCATTCACACATCTATATACGTACAAGCGATGAAATGATTATTTTGATGCACCAATAGACATGGTTGTGGTAATGCCATCATAGTTTTAGTGGCTTCAGCTAGATGACTGCTTTATACAGAGAAGAGAGATTGGACTCCTGTAGCAGTTTTATAATTCCACAGGCTAAGAACTCACAACCTGGATTTTTTATGAAAGTTTTTTTTAAGGATGTACTTGTCTTTTGGTTATTTCAGGCTTGGGTGGCTGCTTCGTTTCATTAGCCATTCAGTGATTTCTGGCTTTACAACTTCTTCAGCTATTGTCATCGGTTTATCTCAAGCGAAATACTTCTTGGGGTATGATATAGACAAAAGTAGCAAGATCATTCCGGTGGTTAAGAGTATAATAGCTGGTGCAGATAAGGTATGCATTTCATTTGGAATTTGAATTATTCAATGGAATTTCTTTAGCTAGGTGTTATGGTCATCTAGCAAGTTTTATGATAAAACTTAAATTGTACTTCATCTATTACTTATAGAAGCTACTGATAACTAAATGGTTTAGGGAACCAAACAAATTAGAATTGAGTTCGACTTTAGTCAGGTTTTGTAGGTGAAAATGGACAGTTTATAAAGCCATGCTGTTTTAGGTGTGATGAACAGCACCTGCCAAATTGGAATTGAGTTTGATGAGTTCTTGGACCAATCATCACAAGGATGAGGACTTTTAACAGTTGGATGTTTAATTCTTTCAAAATAAATTAGGTTTGTAATAAATAATTGAGAATAAATTTGAGAAGAGGAAAAATAAATTAAGCTTAACAATAACATTTTAGGTTTATTTAGCATCAAGCTCACACCTAGAATTTGGTTGCAGCATACCACCAAAAGGATAGTATTTTGCTGGAAAACTTGATTGAACATTGAATCTAAATAAATGCATCATGAGCATTCAAAATGACCTCAGTCGTGTATGTAACTTGTAACAACCTAAAGGGTATTTCCAAACAACCATTCATCTCTTTGTGAAATCATTAAGATGTTAAAATAAAACCATATTTATTAAAATGAAATTGCAAAACAACTCAAGAGGGGTAATCAAAGTACCCTTCAAATCCTCAAATAAACATACAATTTACCCTTGCATTGGAGGGTACAAAAATTCAAAATAATATGAACATAAACATCCTGTTGTGATTCAGGAATTGTGTGTATTGTTGTACACATACCAATCTTATTTATAGAGTGAATAAAATAAATGATAGAGATACTAATCTCTAATATTATAGAAACTAATCTAATCATATCCCTAATTGATAGTGAGGATAATAGCCATAATATATGTATCTACAATATCTGTAATATATTCAGAATATCTGTAACACTCCCCTGCTGGAGCATATATATCATATGCACCAAGCTTGTTACAAATGTAATCAATCCGAGGTCCTTTAAGCGATTTTGTGAACATATCTGCTAACTGGTCACCGGAGGCAGCTGGAGGCAGCGGTCAGAGGCGACAATGGGAGGCAGCGGTCAGAGGCGACAATGGGAGGCAGCGACCAAAAGCGGCGATCAGAGGCGACGGCCACCTGAAGCGACGGTCGAAGTCAGCGACTGGAAGCGGTTGTAGGTGGCGACCGGAAGCGATGGTCGGAGTTGGCAACCAGAAGCGGCGGTCAGAGTCAGCGACCGGAGGCAATGATCAGAGGTGGCAGTCAGAGTTGGCGACCGGAAGTGGCAGTCAGAGGTGGCAATCGAAAGCGGCAGTTGGAGGCGGCGACAGGAAGCGACCAGTGGCGGCGGTGTGACGACCCAAGGTGGCGGTTGGAGGCGACAACTGAAGGCAGCGACCAGAGGCGACGGTCGGCGGCGCGGCAACTGGCCCGGAGGTGGCAGCAAGGGCCTTTGCAAGAAGAGAGAAAAATATATTCTAAAAGAAAAAACCTAAGCTCTAGATACCATGTTGTGATTCAGGAATTGTGTGTATTGTTGTACACATACTAATCTTATTTATAGAGTGAATACAATAAATGATAAAGATACTAATCTCTAATATTATGGAAACTAATCTAATCATATCTCTAATTGATAGTGAGGATAATAGCCATAATATATGTATCCACAATATCTGTAATATATTCAGAATATCTATAACACATCCTAAGGTAGTAAAACATGAATAAGTTCTCGTTTTATTGCTGCCTCTACTTGCTCTGAAATATTTTAGAATAAATTATACGTCTTAGGGAGTGTCCTAGGCAGGGACCAGGGCAGAAAATTTTGTTACGGGGTGCAAAATTTTAACACACGACAAGCAAAATTAATATATGTATCTTGTTTTGAATCAAGATTCCATTCTGAACTTCAGCCTGCAATGGACCCATTATTATTCATTAATACTTCAAAATCACCATCTATGTTAATTTATCTATTTTTTTCCAAAGTCATTCTGGTGTTTTCAGTTATCAAACCCCTTCTTTAACAGATGAATTTTTTCTATTTATAGTTTTCATGGCCCCCTTTTTTGATGGGATGCATTATGCTTGCAATACTACTTGTTATGAAACACCTGGTAAGAATCTATCTCTGATGTTGGTGAAATACTTATCTTACATATTGACATCCTACTCATTATATTGTTGTTATACAACCAGGGAAAATCGAGGAAGTACTTGCGATTCATGAGAGCTGCAGGTCCTCTTACAGCAGTAGTTCTTGGAACAATTTTTTCAAAAATATTTCATCCATCATCAATTTCTTTGGTGAGTATCGAATATATATCATGAGCTTTAAGGCTTCGTAATATAGAATTTCCTACATGGTAATAGTAATATGAATATGGGCAAAGCTACAAAAGTAATAAATGAGGAATGAAGTTGCTTGTGGATACCATTAACTAGACTTGATTATTATGTGCATTATTAAAACATTTTGTTTTTATGCATCTATAATTGTGCATAAAATTTTGTTAAAAACAGAAATAAAAAGGATATTCTTAATTTATGACATCTGTGGTCTTGGAGAAACATTAACCAAAAACAAGTTGATTGTGTTGGTTTAATTTACCTAGTTAAGAATGTAATATTGATACATAATAGTTATGTTAATTTGTTTGTTTTATATTATTGGAGAATGTCTTGTTCTCTCATTTGAATGTCTTACATGCATGTCAGTATTCTTGTTTTCTTTCTCGTGTTATTGTCATGTATGAATATTCCTTTGTAAATGAGAACTATGTATGATTAAGGTCAGTAACTCACTGACATGATGAAGCTGATAAAAATTAACAAACTGACAAATATTACTGGTTATTAATTAGGTGGGAGATATACCTCAAGGCCTACCAAATTTTTCTGTGCCAAAAGCTTTTGAGTATGCACAGTCCTTAATTCCAACTGCTCTTCTCATAACTGGTGTGGCAATATTGGTAAGATCTCCTTTGTATCCTATTTGTGTTTAAATAAAATAATATATTAAGAATTTTATTTTCCAATTACATTAATTTTTAAACTACAGGAATCTGTGGGAATTGCCAAGGCATTAGCAGCGAAGAATGGGTACGAGTTGGATTCAAACCAAGAGGTTTGTTACTTTCCAAATATATTTACCGCTCCAACATATTATTGGAGACGTGTCAGGATCCCCTCCTAAATGTTTGTGCACAAATCTAATTGGGAGCTAATTCACTTTCTAAAGAAGTAGCTGTAAGGTTTGATTGTAGTTATAGAGAAAAAGAAATATTTCATAACTAATATTCCTGATACTTTTGGACAGTTGTTTGGTCTTGGTGTTTCCAATGTTCTTGGTTCATTCTTTTCAGCATACCCCACTACAGGTAAGTATTATTTTGGACTCTAAAAAATAAGGGGTCATTATTTTATAGTTGACTACTTAGTTTTTGGTTTCAAAGCCTCAATTGATTTCAAGATTATGATTTTACATGAAAGAAAACTTATTTTTAAATGTGTGTATATATATATATGTGTGTGTGTGTATTAAAAGATTTTTCATTTATTTTGAATGAGCAATGCAGGATCCTTTTCAAGGTCAGCTGTAAATCATGAAAGTGGTGCAAAATCTGGAGTATCTGGAATTGTTTCAGGAATTATAATTACGTGTGCACTTTTGTTTCTAACACCATTGTTTGAGTACATACCCCAGGTTTGTTTTCAAGCCTTTATAGGTCATATGCAATGTTTGAAAATGCTTTTACTAGGGTTGTCTTTTTGGACTGAAATTTCACCAATAGAAGTTCTTCTTCCATCTAACACAATTCACAGATGACATTTACCGGTATTCTTCAATCCATAACATCAAGAATGAAATGGATATGGCGTATTGGCATTATGGCTTCCAAAATTATTTAAATTTTGGGTTTAATTGTTTAAGTTTTAAAGAAGTTGATGCTATGATACTAGTAGACTCCAACAGATATATAAATTGCACTCAAAGTCTCAAAGAATTGAAGTAGGCGATGTGGAATTTTCTAACACCCCCCATCCACATATGCTTGCCAAACTAGGCGAGACTTACCAGAATAGGCAAACCAAACAAATGGATTCTTGACTCTAATACCATGTTAAATTTCATCTTAAAACCAATTGAGATCAAGTAAAATTACCCAATAGATATATAAACCGCACTCGGAGAATTGAGGCAAGCAATGTGGGACTTCTCAATAGATACAACTTGCTTTTAGCAATTTACTAGTACTAAAACTGATTTTTGAAAGTTTTGCTTTTTTGTTTTAAAATACAATTATTAAAAATTCTTGAAGCATATTTTTTTTTATTGGAAAAACACTTTCTTTTCAAGAAGGGCCCTTCTTTTCCTTTTCCTTCTGCCATTTTTTATTTGTTAACTTTATTCTTGCTGTGTCACTCCAATTTTAAGAGATGCACATTCTTTTCTGGAATACTGATTATGGATTTTTTGGCTACTATAATCCAGTGTGCTCTTGCTGCCATTGTGATCTCTGCTGTCATTGGCTTGGTAAGAATTCCCCTTAATTTATGCTTAGGGTTTAATTTCTCGTTCAACATCCATGGGAAGTTAGAAGTGATATTTTTATTTGATATAGAAAAAGAGAGGAAGAGGTGGCATTACTAGTTTTATGTAGTAGAAAATGGGAAATATAATGCTAAAATAGAGTGCGTTGAGTTTGTCTCTATCCTTGTTCAGACAGTCATGAGATAGTCTTCGATATTGATGACATACATTAGTTTGGTTTCGTTGTCAACTCTAATCCATTGTATAGATGTGTTTATTTAGTTAGTGTCAATTCATATTATGTACAACTTGGTGTTTCAATAATAGTTATATATCAAATATCTTGATGTCTTACCAATTAATTTTATAATTTATTAATTCAAGCAATGGTCTATTGTAGAAAATTTCTGTTTAGCTGCTATATCATTTTGGATGGTTATTTTGTTTGTCAACTAAGCATTCATTCTTAATTGTTGGCATGATTTTTCAGGTAGATTATGAGGAGGCCATTTTTCTGTGGCGTGTAGATAAGAAAGATTTTCTTCTTTGGACCATTACCAGCATTACAACATTGTTCCTTGGTATTGAGATTGGTGTCCTTGTTGGGGTGAGTACAGAGTGAAATTCGTTATGTTGTTAACTAATGGATGCCTTATAATTGCAAAAAAATAATTTCACTCTTTTTTTGTTAGAAAATCTTCATATTTTGATACATATACTTAGTAAGGCTGAAATCTGTATCTGGTTATGCATATTCATTGTGGAATCATGTTTGCTGGCTAAAACTTTAGTCTTTCATTGTCTTTTCTTTCATTCAGAGAGGAGAAGAAATGGTTATATAATCATTTCTGAAGATATTGGATTCATTCAAATATAACTAAGATAATCACATTTCTCACTTTACAAGGGTCTTGAATCTGTAGGTTGGGGTTTCACTTGCTTTTGTCATTCATGAGTCAGCCAATCCACATATCGGTAAGTTGATTTGTCTAGGTTAAAAAATTGTGTATGTTCTTGTTCTTTCCACATGCATATCATATGTATGAATTTGAACCTTGCATGAATATCAAAGAATCATGTCATAGGATACATTAATTTGAACCTTCACAATTTGAATCGAACAATTCGATGCAACTCAACTGGCTATCATATCATAGGATGAATCTTAATTGTCTTTTAATCTTATGAATACGATACATGAATGAATTGGTGCAATTTCATATCATTGATATGAATCACAAGATTCAACTATTCATTATTTATTTTTCTTTCTTCAATTCTCATGAAAGAAATTGAAAAGTCATATAAGCTTTAAGTTGTTTAATGATAAGGAATTGAGTGTTTCATTGTCCTGTTTCCATTTTGCCAAAATATAAAGGCTTCACAAACTCGAATATAACTAATAATTTTTTAATGAAACTTATGGTTAAGTTATTGTTATATATTATTAGTTTACAATTATTAAGATATATGAAGTTATTTTTCATTGTCTCTAAATCTTAAGATTCAATACAAATTATGCTTCACAATTCAAAAATTAGTTTGATAATTCACAATTTGAATTACATCACTTGTTATATTAATTCATTGGTTAATATTTTAATCAAATGTGATGAGGTGTGTATTTCGGAGGACAGAACTTCTGAAGTTATTTGAATTCCGTTTTTTAAATAAGCTTTCATGCATGCCTATTGTTTTTTAAGATATAAATTGTATGCCTTTCAAGTTTAATACAACTAATAAAAAATGAAGAATTCAATCTTGCATCTGATATAACATTAGTCCTTTTGTATTTTTCTAGATTTGATTTGAGTATGTAATTTAACTCTGCATGCTAATATTGTATAAGATACGTTAGTATGCTGATATTATTGTTTGGTCTGCACTGCAGCTGTTTTGGGTCGTTTGCCCGGGACAACTGTTTATAGAAATGTTAAACAGTATCCTGAAGCATATACATACAATGGAATTGTAATTGTTCGCGTCGATGCTCCAATTTATTTTGCAAACACAAGTTACATAAAGGACAGGTAATGAAAAATCAGTTGTAATTGGCATTTTTCCTATCAATTGTGTGGTCTAATTCATTTAGAGTTCTATATCAGGTTGCGTGAATATGAAGTTCATGTTGATAGTTCTAAAAGCCGTGGACCTGAGGTTGAGAGAATTTATTTTGTGATTCTAGAGATGGCACGTAAGTCTTGCTTGTCCTGTGTACAAAGAAGCATCTGTTGTATTATTCATCTTCAGGCACTATTTGAGCTAGCATATTTCTGAGCATGTTGAGATCTTGTTCCTTGAAGCCTTTTCTTTTTCTCTGTATTCTCAGTCTTAATGTTATCATTATTGAAAATATTTTCCTAGTTAAAGATAGCAACAACAATAGCCTTATCCTTATCCCATTTGGTGAGTTTTCTAGTTAAAGAGCACCTAGAAATTTGTCCTGTCTAAAATGATCTTAAGCCATCTTTTGTAGTGCTTAGATACAAGCATAGAAATGCTTTTCTTCTGACAATAAAGAACTTTTCTTCTTGAGCCATCTTGTCTAAAATGAACACTATTTGGCTACTATTTTGGTAGTCCTTACCGGTTGTATTCTGTTTGTTCTCAACTTCCCATCAATACCTTGAAATGAGTTTTGGCCATGACAAGGATTCCTGCTCATCAGGTTCTCATTATCTCCATGGCTGCTGGAATTTCTAGTAGTTCCATTGCTTCAAAGTTCAAACAATGGTCACAATCTCTTTAATCACGTCATTGGTTTTTGTGATAATATTGATACCCAAGGAATGGTTCTAAATAAGTTATATTATACTGTCTCTACTCTCTAGTCTACATATATCGTTAATTAGATTAATAGTACTACGATCATGCTAAATTATGAATTCTTCTATTATCCTATGCATATGAAGTTGTGGTATTTTGAATTGCTACTTTTAAGTCCCCTCGGACACTGAATTGCATGAAAACATAGCAGTTAAATTTGTAAATGCTGTTTTCCACTATAGTTGCTCATACCGAATCTATGAAAGGGATATTGATGATAATTCTGCCTCTTTATTCTAATCTAAGCATATGGTTATGAATGCAGCTGTGACCTATATAGATTCCAGTGCTGTTCAGGCTTTGAAAGATTTGTATCAGGAGTACAAATTACGGGATATTCAGGTAGAATGAGATTGTGAACTTTTAACGACTGTTAAAATTCTTGAAATTATCACTACAGATTTACAGTGTTCTCATCAACCAACTTGAGCTTATTCTTCTTGCAGATTGCAATATCCAATCCAAGCCCAGAAGTTCTGCGTACCTTGTCAAAATCGGGTCTGGTGGAGTTGATAGGCAAAGAATGGTACTTTGTGAGAGTACATGACGCTGTTCAAGTTTGCTTGCAGCATGTTCAAAGCTTGAAAGTTGGATCAAACAGTTCACAATCAGAAGACAAACCAGGTTTCTTATCGCGGTTATTTAAAGAGAGAGGGGAGAACCTTTCGATTACTGACTTGGAGTCTGGTAATGGCAGGCCTCCACTCCCCAGGGACAGAGATTCCCAATTGGAGCCATTGTTGCCAAAAGAACGTTGAAGTCTGATTTGTATCGTATAGTAGAAAAATGTATTTAGTCATTCTTTCAACAAAAAAAAAGAAAATCCAATGAGTAGGTTAAACCCGGTGTAATCAAGCCAGTGTTTAAAAATAATGTGTAATATTCGATTGGTCGATTGTTGTAAAATGTACTAGATGAATTTTTAAGAATGGATTTTATTGTGTAACTCTAGTTTCATCCATGCATAGTAAGTAATCCAATCAGCTTATATGCCCTTAGATAATATATACTCACGTGTACATTTATTCATTTATTAAATAATCTACACAACTTATATATCTTTAACAATCAATTCAAATAGCTTATAATACTTGATACAGCATCCCATTTTTTTTCATAGACGCTTTCTCTAGCATCTTAATCAAATTTGTATAGAAGACAAGTATCAATTCCTACGAGTCCAGCATCATTCTTTTTTTTTTTTTTTTTACATTCAATAAGAATTATAATATCACTAATAAGATTTGAACCTAAAACTTTGTAGTACATATTATTTTTATTTTTTTTATCATTAAGTTGACTCTAATAATTTGTTAATTTAACATCATTTTATTTAATAACATTGAGAATTTACAATTTTATTCATGATAGCCATTAATTTACGACCTCACATATTTCATGTAATATCCATTACTTTTTTTTTTATCAGCTGTAATATCCATTATTTTATGGCGTGTATAACTCATTATTCATGTGCGATCATAATGCATGAGTAATATTAATGTATCATTTGTACCGATTTCTATTTAATGTCATCCATTCATACTAAGAATATAATTCCGTATATATAGACTCAGATTCATAATTCGTCATCGTTCTAATGCATAGTTGATACGAAGATACATTCTAACTATAAACCTGTATGAGAAGAGTATAATTTGACAGAACTCTGACTCATGTTTCTTTTTTTCTTTAGTACTAGAAGTGAATAAATTGAAAGATGTCAGGGTTGTTTATAGAGGGAAATAAAAAATTCAAATAAATAAATGTCAAGCGAAAGAAAGAAATTGGGAAAGAGAAGAAACTCTTTGAATACTAAAAACTAAGGTTAAGGATTCAGTAATTAGTTTTAATTCTTTCTAATTTTTATCAGTCACTATTTTCATTTTTATTTTTCAAGTCAACCATGTCATTTTTTTTCCTCTAATAAGGGATTTAAAACAATTTATATAAAACTTTCAAACTAAAATTTTATTAGCATTTCAAATAATCTTAAATAATTCTGAGCTACATGACATCTTAATTTAAAGTATTATTTACACGGTTAATATATATATATATATATAACAATATATAAATGAAGCATTTTTACTCTTAATTATTTTTTATCTCCACCTTATTGAAACAATTTTATTCTTAAATATTCTTATTTTTTTCTTTCCTTAAAGAACCTTTTCTCTCACTTTTTCGGAGTTTTTTTTATCAACAATTATCTTTATGTTCGGACACTACTTACAAAATTTCTTTCCTTATTTCTTATTTAAATAAATTATACAAAAGCATGAAATATCTTTCCCCATTAATATATATACATGAGACAATGTTTACATGAGAAATATCATTTTCAATCCTCATTAAAATAATTTTTTAAAAAAAGATATTTTAATTTAAGATGTTTATTTCATTTTAACAGTTAAAATTGAACATTTTTATCGTCGCTGATTATATTTCTTTTATTCATTAACATAATCTACTCAAATAAAATCAAACATAGAAACATTAGATCAATCTCATATGCCAAAGATATAATATATATATATATATATATGAGAATGTTAATATATTCTCACCTATTTTTTAGTAGAAATATATTAGTAACCTATACCAAAAATTTAAGATAAAAAAACCATTCATTTCTTTTAATTTAGTTAATTCGTACAAAAGATATTATAATAATTTAATTTAATTTTAAAATAAAATGAAATATTTTTTCTCTCTTATTAACTTTATTCACTAAGTCATTTTTTTTTCTTCTATTAATTAATTTTTATTTATTCAGAGAGAGAGGAGAGAGACATCATAAGAGATGAGAGAGAAATGAGTTAAAGAAGAAATTTAATAGAAGAGAGATAAATAAGTTAGAAAAAGAATTTAATAAGAAAGTGAAATAAGTTAGAGAAGGAATTTAATAGAAAAGAGAAATGACTTAGTGAGAAATTAATAAGAGAGAAAAAATATTTAATTTTTATTTAAAATTAAACTAAATTACTATAATATCTTTTATACAAATTAACCAAATTAAAAGAAATGGGTGATTTTTTTGTCTTAAAATTTTGGTATAAGTTACTAACGTACTCTCACTAAAAAATAGGTGGGAATATACTAACATTTCCCATATATATATATATATATATATAGGAGAATGCTAATATACTCCCACCTATTTTTTAGTAGGAATATGTTAACAACTTACACCAAAATTTTAAAACAAAAATCACTCATTTCGTTTAATTTGGTTAATTCATACAAAAAATATTATAGTAATTTAACTTAATTTTAAATGAAAATAAAATATTTTCTCTCCCTTATTAATTTCATTCTCTAATTCATTTATTTTTTCTATTAACTAATTTTTATTTATTAAGAGAAAAATGGGAGAGATATCATGAGAGATGAGAGAAAAATAAGTTAAAAAATAAATTTAATAGAAAAGAAATAAATAAATTAGAGAAAGAATTTAATAAAAAAGAAAAATAACTTAAAGAATAAAGTTAATAAGAGAGATAAAATATTTTATTTTTATTTAAAATTAAATTAAATTACTATAATATTTTTTATACAAATTAACCAAATCAAAAAAAATGAGTAATTTTTTTATCCTAAAATTTTAGTATAGGTTGCTAACATACTCCCACTAAAAAATAGGTGAGAGTATATTAGTATTCCCTATATATATATATATATATATATATATGTACGTGTGTAACTGTGTGTATATGTGTATGTACACAACTCATACACGAGTACTAGACCTCAAAAAATATACAAATAGCCAGTCATAATAATAAAAGTATAAGATATATAAAGCTATAAAAAGATGTTAAGAAACAAATATCAATGTTTTTCTAACAATATGCTTTGTAATTGCATATACAAATAAAATCAGACACTAATCTGATGTGTTGTCTCAATAAACAGTTCAAAAAATAATTGAAGGATAAAAACCATACAATAACATGGGTACATGTTCGACTCAGAAGGTGTACAGGATACACATGCCTGAACAGTTACACCACAACCATTTTATGGTGGTGAACAAAAAAATAAGAGCTAACAACTCCCTCCTTTTCAGAAGATTTGCTTACTTTTAATGAAAAAAACAATGCAATCAGACAAAATGTTCAGTTGGATATTCATGTTCATCTCCATTGTAGTCATAGTACAACCTTTCCCCTTTTGTAATATCTCTATTGGCAATTAAAAGAACCCGACATTCACCTCCAACGTTAAATCTCACGCATTTTAAGTTCTGCTTCTTTTTTCCCTCTCTACAGCAAAAGCAAGAGACTTCATTAATAGTTGATTCCATCAAAACAATTACTTGCTTCAACTGATCATAAACAAATTTCAAGTATTCATGTTGACATTACATATAAAAGAGCAATTAGATATTACGGACAAGTTTTTAGATATGCTTAGCTGACAGTAATCCTGTCAATTTAGTCAGATTTATTTGTACTGAAGTTCAAAGTTCATAGCAATGATCAATATGTATACTCGTCCTAAATCATGATTTGGTTAACCTTGATTTCAAAAACTTCCATCTTTCAAAAAAAACTATAGGCAGAGAATAAATTGTTAGATGGAAGAAACTTACGGTGTGTGATTATTGATGCCGTTAATGAAACGTGCTATGTTGCTATGTTTGTCTGGACAGATGACAAGTGTACGTGAAGGATCAGAAGCTGAAAGAAGTGTCATTATGCTATCTCCGTTATCATTTTCCCTATTCTTCAAAAAGTCCACATCTCCAACATATTCTGTTATTATAGTTAAATCTTTGATGGGTCTATCTGCTTCTACAGTGAACCTTCAGAAAGAGAAATATAAAAGTCAAACTCAGTGGAGACAAAGACAAGGTCTGTTTATGCTGTTGCATTTACATACCCTTCTAGAGGATCAAAAACAACCATGAGGGGTGGCCATTCCCCTCTTTCCATCATACTTCTGCACAGGTTTAAGGTCTCGGTGTCTTCCTTTGACATAACCTGAGTCAAAAGATAAATAAACACAAACAGTTAATTTTGAATTTAAAGTTAAATGCATTAAAAAAAATGTGAAAAATGCTAAATGAACATGCATCTCTTTTTTTTTTTTTGCTCCATTTTAGAGAAGAAAACTTATATGAAATTCATTATTCTGATTGCTGACAAACTTGTTCAAAACAAACATTCGCACATTGCATGACCAAAAGGACCCACAGATATGCAGAAGAATAAATCAAATGAATTTTTGATACTAGAAAGGAGTGGCTCCATTTTATATTATACAGTTCTGAAAATTTTGATCTGTATTTTGCTTCTGTACATCAGCTATTACTACTTACTAGTACTCTATTGCTGTATAGCCATACAAAGTTCTGTCAAGCATAAATTTGGGAACCAAAGACCAGTACCTCAAAAAGAGAACACACTTTTTTTTTTCTTATTTGCATTTAACTCTTGCTGCTGCTGTGTCTCCCTAAACATTCAAATCTTCATAGATCCCTTCCAAGTGAAAGTGAATAAAAAATGTTTTGTATCAATGGAAAAACTTAAAGTGATGTTTGTTTGTCTGATAATTTAAAAAAGTGACAGCAAAAAAGGGTATCACCCATTGGCTGGCAAAGGGGAGAAACAAAATGTCACCACAAAGAATGCAAGGAAGCACACAAACTACTCAAAACACAAATTTGTTTTCTCTCAATATATTTTCAAAAGTTTAAAGGTTACATGATAATATATTTTTCCCTTCCCATAATGCTTCACTAATCAATCAAAATGTAAACACAAACAATTTGAGCACAAACCAATTAGGGTAGAATTAATCATTTACCTGCATTCCACCACGCTCAAGAGCAGGGGAATTAGCTGACCGTGGCGCCATTCCCGGAATGTAAGTAAGCTCATTGCTGAACTCCGCCTTCGTTGCCGTCAACGCCGTCGCCAGCGACGCCATCTGCTCCAATCTCCTCTTCGGATCCTCACTCGGCACAAACGCCAAAAGCTTCCTCTTTTTCTTAGACACCACCAAGCTCCCACCCCGCTTCCGCTTCTTCCTCGCATCTAAAACAACACCACTTCCATCATTAAATTAAACCCTAAAAAAATAACTGATAATAACAATAATAATCAATTTAAAATGATATCCTTTAGCCTCACCTTGATTTGACGACGTCACCGATGAGTGCTGAATCCGAAAGAAGTCAATGATTTTGGTCTGGACAAGGGGAAAAGCTGCAATTTGAATGATTTGTTAGTAAGAAAACCCTAAGGAAATACCAGCATTTCGTGCTTGAAGCTAAATAAGTGAAACTCAATAAATAAATAAGTAAATAATCAATTTTGATGTGAAATTTATGAAATTGGTACATTTGGGTTTTCGATTGGAGCAAGAGGGGCAGAACCAGGAGCCTCTGGGAACGGAGTGGAGGATGGGACGGAGGCAGAAGAGGTGGTAGCCTCCGTCACATTTGTCGCAGAGGAGGAGCTTCGTAGGGGCGTGGCCGGAGCCACATTCCTCGCAGCAAACGTCGTCGTTTAGGGTTGGAGATGACTTGGGAGCGTGGGTTCTTCTTCGACCTAGTGAAGAAGCCATGGATGCAGAAATGTGTGAAGTGTGAAGTGAAAATGAAATGCGGAGAAGAAACTATAAAGAAGAGGTTCTTTCGCGCTTCGATTTCGTTTTCGCGCCACCGCCACATTTTGTTTTCGGCTCACCTTTTTTCCTTGTTGGGCCTGCAGTTTGTCAGAGAAGAAAGACGGGCCCAGGACCAACCCGATAAACTAAGCAACGATTACAAAACTTTCATTCATTTTCAAAGATGAGAGAACCGTTAATTTTAATAATAAGTCTACTTAGATTTATTTCATTTAATAACTTATATTTTATATTAAATTTTAATAATTTAATCATTAAATTTAAAGTTCTTAATATTGATTAAATTTACAAATTTTAAAAAAATTTAAAAATTATTTGATATTTCGTTTCATAAATTTAAATCAATATATAAAATGATTTTATGATTATCTATCAATTTTAATTAATAAAATTAAGTATTAAATGGTTTTTAATTTTTTTTAAAAAATTGCATATTTGATCTATGCATTAAGAATTTTAAATTCAACAGTTGGATTGTTAAAGTTTAATATAAAACATGAGTTATTGAACAAGGTAAATCTAGTTAAACTTATTTCTAAAATAAACAGACCCCTTCTCATTTTTAAATATATTTATATAAAGATTTAAAATATTTTTATTAAACTAGTATGATTACCCATATGATGCATGAAATATTTAATTTAAAACATAATTTATATCATAATAATATATAAATATAATAAACAAAATTATGTATTTATTAATTTAATGTGTTTAAGCATATCTTTCATAGTTTTAAAATATTATTAATTTAAATTTATAATAGAAAAAAATAATTATGTAGAGTTTATAAATTATGTATATAATAATGAGTTTTATATTTTTATTGAACTTATCATAATTAATGTATATGGTATTTGAAGTGATTACTTACCACGTTAATATATAATATTGTTTCTATTGAAAATTGAACTATTTATTGTAGTTTTATTCATCATACATTTATTTATTGTTTCAAATTTTTTTCACTATAACATTAAAATATTTTTTCTCAATAATATTTCAAGAAAATTATAATTAATTTTATAAATAAAAGGGATGATACTTCGTCATAAAATGTATTACAAAATATAACATATTACCAAGTCAATTATAACAAATTGTCATGAATCTTATAACTATCTATTCACAATTAGTAACGAAAATATGAACTAAATCTAAAATTATTATTTTTAAAATATATGAAAAATACATACTATAATATATGGCTTAAAGAGTTTTCAACAACAACTATGAAAATATAATTCTATACAAGTAAATATATATATATATATATATATAATAATAATCTAAATAATAAATAATAATCATAATAGTTGGTCCAACCTACTAAATACAACTAAAAGTAATTACGTAGAGGTGACTCTAAAATCAAAAGCTACACCAATAGACATGACCTCAAAAAGGTTTCCAACCATAATCTATCCCAACTCTACTATCACATACCAAGTATGATCATCAAAGTTGAACGACATGAAAACGCGCAAAGATAAGCTAAAGTTTAAAGAATCAACATAAGCAACTCAACTTTTTACAATACAAAATCATTTTACAACCTTTCAACACAATATAACATACTATCAACTTCAACGACACAACATCGACATCTTAATTTGCAACATAATACATTTCATCACAAGTTAACATTGCATATGAATACAACTCAGTCAATACATCATATGCATAGCAACCCAACTATATGTCTCATGACACATTTAAACCATGAGATCTCTTATAACGCAAGTGAGTCGTTTAAGTAGCTTAACCATATCGAACTAACGACTTGATCTTTTCAATCTAGCTAGAAATAGTTAAATAAGACACTAATCCCTAATAACATAGTTTCTTGGATGTTGTTGCTTAAATTAGGAAGTCTAATATTTTTGTTAGGGTATAAAAGTTGGGTGTGAATCAACCATGACGTTAACTAGCATCACCAAGCTACCTTTGGGATTAGCTCACCGATAACTCTCAAAATATTACATCCTTTCAACACTTAGTTGGTAATTATAATCTCCAATCTTGTACCTTATTCCAATTTGGTCACTTTATATACGTATGTCTTAATCTTACCCACGTATAGTTGGTCGCTTGTATTCGTTATATCTTGATCTAGTCCACGTATCGCATCAACTAAGATCTTAGAAGAGATTTTCTAATGAGAGTTTTTCAACAATTTTGGCTCTTGAAACACCACAACACGATATCTTTATAATGAGATATGCAACTTTAAAACAATTAATTTTTCCTCTAGTCATAGGTTGATCAACATAGTACAACTTTGATGCCCAAAACATGCTCAACACAGCTGCTCAACTCAATAATATATAACCCAACTCATATAATATACTACTCCAAGCATAAAGATTTAACATTATTTATCAACATACAACATATAGTACAATCAAATCATCACAAAATGTGTAATACAGTCAACTATTCTATACATGTTCATCAACTTCATCATAAAACAATAAGTTAAAATAATATAATCCGCGCCCAGCACTATTTAATACAATTAAATTTTTATGTGAGTATTTTAATTTGTCATCGAATACAATTAAATTTATTAAATTTAATATTCAAGTATCATTTGAATATGTCTGGATGATATACATGGATTTAACTTTATTCCTTATATTGATTTCAACAATTTTTAAATAGTGTTTGATTAGTAAAAGTTATGTCTTGTAATTCACAAGTACAAATTAAGAAAAAATGCCATTAATACACTTTTGAAAAACACAACTTTTTAATTAGTCAAAATTTATTAAAAAATATAAAATTTAATGAGACCAACACCATGATTTTCTCTCATGATTTTGTAGTTTAAAAAAATGTTTTAAAATTTTTTAGAAAATATTTGAATTTTATAAGACTAACAAATTTTAGAAAAAGAGGATTTGAGCTGTATAGTTTTGAGCGATAATTTTTGTTAGATGATTAGTATACCTTTAATAATATACATATTTATATATAGATGAATCGATTATAAATTTAAATTTGAATATACAATTATATTTTAAAAATAAAAATAACCTTTAGTTCATTATTATTTACATTTTTTATGATATTTCAAATTTATATGAAAATTTATTTATGTTTAATTGATGTAATTCAATTTATTTAACATTAATAATTTTATTTTAAAATAAAAAACATTTAAATTTTAAAAGGGTAAAAAATTATCGAAAAAAATGTATGAATTATGTAGTTTTGAACCATTTTTTTAAAGACTATTATATTTTTAGTAATATATAGATATAGATATAAATAAATTGATTTTAAAGTAGAATTCGAAAGTACATTTATATTGGAAAAATTTAAATAATCATCATTTTACTATTGTATGTATTTTCTTATGATATTTTAAATTTTTATAAAAAATTATTTATGATTATTTGATGTAATTCAATTTATGAAATGCTAATAAAATTATTTTAAAATTAATAGAAATCATTTAAATTTTAAAAGGGTAAAAAAATTTAGAAAAAAATTAGGTCTAAAGCGTGTAATTTTGACCGAATTTTTTTAGGAGACTTTATTTTATCTTTAATAATATACAAATATAGATAAATTAATTATTAATTTAATTTTGAATGTATATTTATATTAAAATTAATTAAAATAACCATCATTCTATTATTATATGCATTTTTTTATATTTTAATTTTTTTATGAAAAATATTTGTGTATATTGAAATATAAATTAATTTATTAAATAATAATACTTGATTTTATAATAAATATATTGTTTGAATTTTTTAAGAGTAAAAAATTGTAAAAAAATAACTTCGATCTATGTAATTTTGTGCAATTATGTGCATGAATAATATAATTATGTTTTAAATATATTTTTAGTCTTTATTGTAAATTTTTTTAAACAATAAATAAAGAAAAGTTTTTTGTAAACATAATAAATAATACTAATATGAGCATTTTAATTAGCCATTGAATAAAATTAAATCATAGGGACTAAAAATTTATTTTTCTTAGATTATAGTAGTAAAATATAAAGACTATAAAGTTTTTTTTTTTTTTTTAAATTATAGGGACTAAAGACTTACAAGTAAAAAAAATTACATTGAATATGTTATCTCAAAGTGATCTTTGTCACGTAATCACAACGTAAATTATTAATATAAAAAAATATTAGTAATAGATATTTTAAATTATATGAACCAAAAAAATTAAAACTGTAAGACTAAAAAGAAAATTTAAATGAAATTACAAATATTAAAAATGTATAATTAACTAAAAAAAAATCTATGTCAAAATAGTTTTTCTCTGGTGTTCACAACATCAACAATATTATTAAAAAAATAATTAGTATAGATTATAAAGGAAAAATATATGTATAAGAACTAAAAAAATATTTTAAACTATAAAGATTAAAAATAAAAATAAATAAAAAAATATTTAAATATAATTATTATAAAAATTAAACACAATACATATTAATTTATGATTAAATGATAAATAACATAATTTATCAACTTTCAATTTCTTTTCAGTTAGATTGTTCCAAATTCTCATTAGAACTTTGTTTGGCACCATAAAATATTAAAATAAATATCGTTTCATGACAATGGCAAGTTCAAAGTTAGCATCAATTTTTTTTCAAGGTAAGTGTATAATTAGTACGCTTGAATTAACTTTATAGTAAGAATTAAAAACAATTATTTATTTATTTTTCATAATGAGCACGTGAAAACAAAGTAACAAAAATCGTATCCATTTTATCATAACATCACTATAATTTTGAGAGATAAAATTTTTTATTGAGTATTATTCAAACACGCTAAAGATCATATTTTTCCTCTCATGAATTTTTAATTCTTGTTCGTTTTATAATTTGTTACAGCCTTAAGAAACATCATAGTAAAAAGTGAGCTTGCATTTCCATTAGCTTTATAATGGGATTGTTTAAAGAAATTAATGCATCATCCTAACTAATTTTCGTGTAACATATAATTAAAGATATT